TGGGTAATACCAGATGGCTAGGCCTCAGACTGACGAAGCCTCTTGGACGAGGGGCGAAACGTTTCTTTTTTAACAAAAAAACGAAGTCCAGATGACATGATTCAACCTTTTTTTGTTGTTATATACCTGGATGACTGAGAAAACAAACTTTGTGTTTTTGAAACCATTAGTGAAAAGGCCAGACTTCAGGGGTATCTGAGGCAGGCTTGAAACACAAGAGTCAGGGTGGCTTCTGGGTAATACCAGATGGCTAGGCCTCAGACTGACGAAGCCTCTTGGACGAGGGGCGAAACGTTTCTTTTTTAACAAAAAAACGAAGTCCAGATGACATGATTCAACCTTTTTTGTTGTACAGTAATAATATTGTACAAAGAAACTGTACAGGACACATGACAGTCAACTTTAATATTACTCACGTGATTGGGACAGTACTGGATACAGTACTGTACAGTAAAAAGTTAAGGAAAAAATAAGACTTCGGACAGGCAATGTCATTTTCTAGTTTTCTCTCACCAAGCCTCCACTGTATTCCTGCTCATAACGACCACATTTCCCAGAAGGCAACGGGGCCCAGAAGCCCCGTTTCCTTCTGCTGACAAAACAGAGGTGACGTTTTGATCTGATCGGCACCCAGCGGATGCAGAGAAGCCGCACTGAGCCCACCGAACCAGAGCAGAACCGGATCAGAACTAGACTTCCAGACCCATCAGTGAATCTTGAGAGCTGCACTGAACTGGACCAGAACTGGACCTCCAGACTCAGCGATGAACCCGAGAGCAAGTAAGTAAAATGTAGTAGCTAAATTTTTTTTTTTTAATAAATCTTAATTTTACCTGGAATAAATCCATTGACATCATCAATCTCTTTTACAAGGATGTCCTGACATATAAGTATGTTGTTAAAATGACTGGGAAAAGTTGACAACATTGATTGTGAGCTTGTCGCTGCAGGTTAGGTTGGCAGAAATGAACTGGGTCAGACCAGAACAGAGTCGGACCAGAATGAGATCCGCTCCTGTTCTGCAGAGCCTTATGAGTAAAATTTAGTAGCTATATATACAGTATGTTGTTAAAATGACATAAGAGTTAAGAACATTGCAAGAGTGTGGGAAGGGCTTCTAAAGCCTTAGAATATATATAAATACTAAAATAAACACAACGTCGCTAATTCGCATAATTTCACTTAATGTGGGCAGGTTCGGAACCGAACCCCCACAATAAACGAGGAACTACTGTATAGGGTGACTGCAAGAAATTATAAATTTGTTGCTGTCTTTCTTTAATTTGAAAGTGCTTGAACTTAGAGACAGCACTCAGAAATTTTAATTAATATTCCAAATTGCAGACAAATGAGTTGAGACTAAGCCACAGAAAAATCTGCCCAAAACACCAGCAGAAAATGGACGAAGCAGAACTTGTTAAAAGCATTTACCAAAGAGCTTGAGTGCGATCATTTCAAGCTGAGCATCATCCAGACCCTTTTTAGTGGCCGACAGAAACTGCCAGCTCATCATCTCTCCAAACTGCGGCCAAGGCGCCGCAGGAACGTTAGCAAAGAACATGACGTCCTGTAAAAAACACAAACATTACCCAAAAATTTATTTTAAAAATGTGTCTCAGGTGGCTTTGTTAATGTCCTACACAATATCTTCACTGCAAAGATGATGTGCAGTGTGGATTAGAGAGGGCAGACTCTGACCTTGGAATCCTGGCTGAGCATGCTGAACCAGAGGATAGACGCCCACGCACTCTGCTGCTGGCTCGAGTTAGAGATAATGACCACAGGAAGGGAGGAGGCCTACACATTTATCAAAGCAGATTTATTACAGGTCATGATATGTTTCTCTACTAAACAAATATGTTTTTGTCAGGTATGAACAATAAAATAAATCTTCACCTGCAAATCAACTGAGAAGCCTTTCAGTTCAAATACAGTGTTGAAGTGGATGATGTGCAGCTCTTCTGTAACACTCAGAGAAATCTGTTAAGAACAAGCACTCACGCTCAGATCTGATCTACGAATGCTGACCTGTTGTTACCACTTTATGCATGGCAAATTACTGAATACTACCACAGACAGAGATGGTCTTTAACTCACATCATTGGCTCCTTTACCACCTCCTCCAGATTTCTGCTCCTTCAAAGACTAAAGAAAACAGCACGCAGAATGACTCAGGCACCACAAATATTAATCTGAAAGTTGCTACTGGTGTAAGCATTTGTCTTTAAAATGGTGGATTTTATTGGTAAGACACTGGCGTATTTTAGTTGCATACTTCACATGTGTACCCGAATAAGTCTGATAAGGACTGTAAATTATTATCACTCACCAGATGGCGGAAGTCTGCCACCATGCCTCCACTGTGGCTCTCAGCCATGTTCAAAGCTTTAGATTTGGTTCCCAGGACATTAAAACGTCGATATCTACAAACATACCAGGTTTTAGTGAAAATAATTAACATCAAATGTTAAAAAAAAGTTTAAACAACAGTATAATATTTCTAAAATTTAGAAGTTGACAAAAAAAAAACACAGCTTACCCTTTGACGTGAGGAACCTCCCTAATTTCAAGGTTGAGAAAAAGCCACAGCACCCAAAGGGGAGGAAATAATACATCATCCACTATGATACAAAGCTAGGAACTGCAGGCTGGCAGTTTGTTTTGTGAGTTATAAAAAAAGTAACATGTCTAAAAGGAGAAATCTCACCTGGCCATGGAAACATCCACTTTCATGGAGTGATTCAGTTCAGGAAACTTTACCAGAAGTCTAAAACACAAAATCCAGCAGAAGATAATGGTGAAATGCAAAAAAACACAGAAAACCAAGGACAAAATAGTGATGGAAAAAGAGGCAAACAACAAAGTTACAGCTCATAAAACAAACATTAATTCAATAAATAATCAGTATCCATTCTATTCTCCACACATTATTTACAAACTGCTGAAAGATTTATGTCTAAACTACCATCCGCCATCCAAGGAAAAGAGGTTGAGCTTTAAACAATTATTTATTACAGGTGTTTGTGTAGGTTAACGGATGCAACAATTTCTCATTGTTCTCTGAATCCACTATAAACACAGTTTAGAAACAAACGCACCAACTACCATCGAAGAAGTCTTTTCAGTGTAACACATTAGTATCTAAAAGAAATTGTGCATTACTGACCTGGTCTTGACAGAGAACTGGACACTTGTGCGCAGAACCAAAGGTCCTTTTCCTTGAGGCATGGATGGCTGAGTCTCGACAACGAAGGAACTTTAATAAATAGAAAAACATTATTGTTTGTGCATTTCATAAAGAGATAAAAAAAATAAAAACTACAAAAACAAAGCAAGCTATTGCTTTAAGGAACACACCTCTTTAGTAAGTCTTCAAGAAGGGTGTCTGCTCTCCTCTGCAGTGCAGGTTTCTGGGCCTTCACAGGATCACCATCATAGGACACTTTTCCTACCAGCTCCTCCAGTTTATTCAGAAACTCCCTCACTTGGAACAGACATACTGCTACAGAGGTGAACCTAGAAAACGAGACAAAAAGAACTTACAAACTGCACAAAGGAATTGTAAAAAAAAAAAAAAGCATCAAATGTGATGATGATGTGCTGTAAAATTCCAGTTTTAAGATATTTTAAAAGTGTGTAACTGCTGTAATAAATTTATGAAAAATCAAAACTGCTGAAGAAAGAAAAGAATGGCGTACCACTTTTCCAGTTGATCCAAGCAAATATTTTCCAGAGCACCGATGCAGGCTTTCTGCTGCCTCCTTTGCCAGTCCACCAGCTCTTTGTTGACCAGCAGGTTGATCAGATCCTCAGCCCGGTCCAGAAGCTTTTTCAGGTCTGACAAGGTGGTCTGATAGGTGAAAGGTTTTTAAAAACAATAAATCATTAGGTTAACAGCTATCTATTTTTTTAAGTACAGTTTGAGTCCAGTAATAGCTTCATACCTTTCTACACTCGTTCAAATTGTTGACGAGTTTCTGAATATTTCTCAGCTGCTCGTTCTTCAACGCCTCGTCTACAAAAACTACAGGGCAGTTTCCACAGTAGGAAGAAAGTTTCCACATAAGACAAAGAAAAAGACATTAAGCTGTGATTAACACCATTATATTACCCTGAATCAGAGAATACAATATGATTAGAACTCTCTAGTCTGCTGACCTTCCATTTTGTGGGTTTGAAACTTAAAATCAAACTCATCTTGCTGCTCTTCCAAACAAATTACTGTATGCTCCAAACACTGGAACCCAATGGTCAAAGACAAGAGAAAAACAATTAAGACCTATTATATGTTGTATCAATAAAACACAAAATAATAACATTAAATAACATTATATGGTACCTGAACATCATTCCTTAAGCCAGCCATTTTACGTTCAAGGTCCTGCTGACAGCTCATCTCCATGGCTTCCTGCTCAACATGCAAAAGCTGCACCTAAAACAAAGGAAAAAGTGTGGGTTGAACAGGCACACTGGTGGTTTTTCCTTCTTTCACATGTGACATGGGTAACATTGTTGAAAAGGGAAATGAGTGTGAATCAAAGTGGTAGTTAAAACAGCAACAATGCATGCAGGATTATCTTGATCTTTTAGCTATCAACACACTTCTAAACATCAACAGAACAAATAGGAGCAGGGCACATTAAAGAACAATTTTCAGTGAAACTTATGAACAAAGTTAAAATACTACAGAAACACAGGACATCTAAAATGAGGCGCAGAAACAAATGAAACAAGAACTAGGCCTATTTTTTTTCTATACTATTATGTGTTTAACTCTTGCAGCTGGGTGCGTCCCACATTTTTTATTATACATGTGTACAGGTGTTACTGAAGAGCTGTTGCCCCAACCTGTTGATCCAGCTCAGCATTGTCCAAGATTTCCTTCTCTTTTTCCAAAAACCACAGGATTCTGCTTGCCAAAGCACACGGCTCATCTTGATACCTCTAATTAGGCAGAGGGGTTAAGTGGAGATCCATTAATTAAATGTTGCAATAACAACTGTGAAGTTTCCATGTTATTTGTGAATGTTCTTTGGACTCCAGCAAGATTTCAGCATCAGGGTTATATTTCTGATGCGAAACAAAGATGCTATTCAGATCCGTCTTGGTTTTACAAACCTGGAAGTTCTGTTTATAACGTCTGATGTTGTGCTGCTGTAAAAATGATTCCTCCTGAACAAAGCGGCTGTGTTGGATATCCAACTTCTCCAACAGGACCTGGAACAGCACCATAGCCAGGTTATAGTCCCTTGCTGCTCGCTTCCTAAAGAACAAAGCCAGGACACAGTTCAAGCATTTCATGTACAGACTCATGTGGAGCTTAATTAGTACAAGAGACAGGGAAGTCTTACCACTCCTGCTTCTCTATCCAAGCGGACAGGTAGTGCCGAACATCCATAGGCAAACCATCTCTGTCATAGAGCTCATGGAGCTGCTGCTTGTAACCAGTAGGCAGCTGCCTTAGCTTGTCCCACAGAGCCATCCTACAATGGACCAACATCAAAACACGTTAAAGAATAGTGCGAAGTCTCAGTTAACCAACTGTCAGTAATGCACACTTAATATATGTCATATAATTTGACTGCATGCAATGACTATGAGCTAACAGCTGAAAAATAGGACTATATTTGCACTTTAACCATGGAGGAAACAGTCAACAGTACACAGTCTATATAGAAAAAAAATGCGTATTTGCTTATCTTACTTTAAAATACAGCGTACAATCTTGGCAGCTAAGCTAGGATATACGTACCGGTGGTTTTGGTTCGGACTAACTAAAAACAGAGCTGTTGTTAAACGTTACTAAAACAAAGCAACTCTGACGACTGGGCAGGCGTGTTAATGTTGTTTCCTTTGTCATTTCTTCTCTCGCTGTTTTTTATTGGATATCTTTTTATCCCTCCTAAATAGTTGTCGACTGGAAACCTCAGGCGCCATTTTGGCTCTGCTGTAATAGACGTCACTCAAACCACAGAACCAAAATGTCTCTCCAGGACAGAGCGGTTTCTTCGTGAGCTCATTGGTTGAAGCTGATTGGCTGAACGTACAGAAATGCTCACGCTCAATTGGCGCATTTGTACGTCAATCTTCAAGTTGGGGGGCGTGGCGATAAAATAGAAACTTACGCCTCGCAGTTGGCGATAAAAAAAAATTCCAAGAAATGACGTCGAGAAAGTGACGAACGGAGAGGAAGAGACCTCGTGATTCGCCAAAAACCATCAAGCAAGTTGTGTTTACTCGGTGGTACCAAGTGCATGTGAACCTGCTGTTTCCCTTCCTTCTGTTTTATATTTCTACTTGTTCCACTGAAATAAAGAATCAAGTCCCGAATTTGTTTTAGTGCGTTTACATTATTAATAAAAATGTTTCCGTCCTTCTCTCTCACTATTTTACAATTAATCATCAAAATCCTAATTAAATAATAGTTATTCAAATGTAACAAAAGGTGAAATTTTAATCATTGTAGGGCTAATTTTTTATCTCCGTTCTGTTGCCATGCTTTTGTAAAGTTTTATTAATTTCTGTTTTCCACCAGTAGATGTCACACATTTCTCAGAAATGAGGAAGCCATTATTTGCCTGGCTTAAAATCCAAAGCTGTTTTTATACATTGGAAGAAAAAAAAAGTGTTAAATTGAGTTTCAACATAGATGACATTGTTTTTTATTTATTTATTTATTTATTTATTTTATTGCAATTATTATCATACTTACCAAATGTTATAGGCTAGATATATTTTTGCATAACCAGTTTGTTCTTTCTAAATTAAATGTATGTTTAAAAAAAAAAGAACTATAATGAAATTTCAAATTATTTAAGAGTTATTCAGTTAAATGTGCTTTTGTTGCACGTTTTGTTAACTGTACTGACTCACTGAAAAAGGTCTTTAAACTTATCAATTTTGTAAACATACAGAGAGCAAAGATCACAGGACAGAACAACCCACAATAAACTGTGTCAAAGTGTTACGCAGTCAGCTGATCGCCTCTGAACCTGGCAGAAATTGTGCAACAAAAACTTGCTCACATTCTCTGTGAAATTATTCATCTACATCAGAGCACCTTACGAGGGTTGACAAAGAAGAAAACTGCCATCTTGTTTTCATGTCTTTGCTTGCACACAGTCAGCAAATAGAAAAGAAACTCAGAGCGAAAGTGATCATGTGCCATGAGCAGATGTATTATTAGCCTCAAATAGAACTGGAAAGCAGATATGACTGTTCTAAACCACAGTAAGGCATTACAGAGTCAGTCTGATCACTACTGGAACTAAAACTGGGTCAGATTATCACAACTCATTCTTATCATTCAATATATTTTGATATGTAATTGTTCTGTTTTTATTACAATTTATACTTTTGTTAAATAAAGAAACTGACTTAGATATAGCAGTCAAGCATCAATAAAGCAGCTACAGAAAAAGTAAGATTCAGAAGGTCTTCATTGTTTATTTGAGCCACAATAATATTCTTATTGAAACAAAATGCACACGATATTTGAAGTAGATACAACGCATACTTTTCTGTAGATACGAGTGTTTACGTGCAGAATTGCATTGAAAAGAGAGAAAAGGCAGTAGTGGAGGTGGAGATGCCGGGAATATGTTGTTTCACTTTTGTGTTTGTGGTAATATTTCATTCTCACGTGACATTTTGTGCATTTTCCCAACATCTTAAGTGTCAATATTGCATCCACTGAAACACTGACCGTATAAGTTTGTATTTATATTTTTCACTGAATTATGCGAAACAGATATAGTGGGGCAGTTACTTTTAAAGTGTTACAAAGCATGTGAGAAATATGATGTAATTAGTATTTTCTTGAACTGTGCAAACGTCTCATCTGCCCCCAACAGGTCTTATCGAACAAATTCTCAGGTAAATGTACTGCGCTACAAAACTTAATATGTATTTGATTAACCTTAAAAATCATAAATCAACAGAATAAGTTCATCAGTCTTCTTTTATTCCTAATACTTTATGATGAACAAAGGAAACAAATGACAAAAGACAGAAATCAAAGTGTTGCATCTTCCTGAGATCGGTTTTTAATGCTGTTGTGTAAATATGATAAATTGTACCATTATTTCAAAATACACACAAAAATAGTCACCCTAAAATAGGCTATAATGTTTTTGCTGACTTTATTTTTATGTTGGCAAACCATAAAATGTGTTTTGTTGAGCAATCTTGACATGAAAAATCTGAGAATATTTCAGTAGCATCAACTTTTAATATAATTTCTGACACATTTACTTGTATAGGCCTTTTAAGCTAATTTTAAAAATGTTTTTATTCAGCCTTTATTATAGTTATTTTCCACCAAAAAGTATCAATTTTATAAAATGTACGTATAGTTTACGTTTTGAAACTTGAAACCTATACATGTGTATATATGAAGAAATTAAAGTTGGATAGTTCTTTTTTGTGTTTTTTTTTTTTCTGGTCTCTCCACATATAACTAACAATTCCTAATGGACAAGGTTACATTTCTGTTCTGAAAACATATTTCCAAGATTATGGACCCATTTGTGACTGAACAAACTACTGGTGGACTACAAATTTTAATTAAACTTTGTTTGATTTGATTCTTAAACAACCTATCAACAAGTTAGTCTCCAAGCATTCATGGATGAAAACAATAACATGCAGAATATGCTAAAAACTGTTCAAGTTTACAAAAAATATATAGATTTCATTGGTCTGATAATTAGCTATGAAATGCATGGTTCGTGTAAATCGTCTAAACAAGTAATTAAAAAAAGCATAACTAGTTGTTGTTCTGCAAATGTGTCAGTTATCAATTGTGATTTTTTTTAAACATTATAATGAATTACAAACTGTAAAAGCTTTAGAGGCTAATGCCTTCTGGCTCCAGTCTACGGGACGGTGAAAACACCCTGTTCCCAGCTAGACTGGTTCACGAGAACATCATCTTTCTTCATGGAGTTGATCAGGTGCTTGACACCTGTTTTCACCCCTGCCCCCAGAGCAAAGCCGGCCACCCCAGCGGTCCCTCCTGTGGCGGCCATCAGGGCGTCGGTTCCCAGGTCGACGACACTGAGGATGGCTCTCTCCTTGGCTGTTTCTTGGCAGTTCACTGACGCGTAGTACACAGCTGTGCCGAGGTTGTAGAGGGTGCTGACCCCCGGTATCCACTCCATGACGTTATACACACGCTCCTCGTTCTTGTTGATGCAGCTCGTTTGAGGGCTGCGCTTTGACCGTGGACCTGCTGTGATCAGAACTTCCTCCTGGGTACTGCACTGATGAATCCAGCACTCAGACTCGGAGTACTTGGATGGAAAGATGCGGCTCCCTTTCTTCAACACCGCCTGGTACAACCCGGGCATGAGCGGCCCACCGCTGCTCACCCCAGCACACAGGACCCCGAGTCTTTCGCAGCTGCTCACAGCATCCTTCAGTCCACCTGAGGATCCTTTCACAGCTGTTCCCACCAGCATGGAACCATTTACTCTGGTCCAACCCTCACAATGACCCTCCTGTGGAGAGGAGTCTTCTTCTATCAAGGCCAGCTGCTGAATGTTAAACATCAAAGCATTTATGTGATTTTCTTCATTTCTCAGTGAAGGCGACACTGATGGTGCTGGTGCAGATGTTGGCTTGCTCATCTTCCTCTCTATGAGCTCTTCCACCTCCATCAGGAGCTCCTCTGTATCAGACTCCCCCAGCAGGTCGTACAGCTTCAGCACCAGGGTCTGAGCCTCCTTAGAACATCCTGCCATCACCAACACAGGCACCAAAGAGAGACCCAGCAGCTCCTGAGGGACCACAGAAGATAATGGATCATCTAATGTGCTGGCAGACAGCAGCTCCTCACAGCTGGCATTCCCTTCGATGTGGAGATAATCCTGAAGCTTCGCCCTGAGGACTGATGTCAAAAGTCGAGCAGATCGGACCTTCTCTTCCTGAGAAACTGGTGCTTCAGGTCCAGATTGGTTCGTGAGCAACAGAGTGGGTTGTGGATGATGGTCCTGTTTGATTTTGTCCATCATATCATCAGGAGCACGAGGTTCTTCAAGTAGCGTGTCCCTCTTCTCCAAAGAAGGCGGGGCCCGGCAGAAGGCCTGTTCAGTCAGCAGGAGCTGGATCACAATCAGCCTCTTCCACATTGTACCGCTCATCACTGAAGGCGTTTTCAAAGCTAAACGCAAGAAAGAAAAACCTTTTTTAGGCTATATAAAATTGTAATTTTATGTAACAATGCCTTTTAGAAACAAAATCCTTGCTCTCAATGTACAAGAGTTCAAAATGGACACAATTTTGCAGAATTTGTTGTCTTTTGCACATTTTAATGTTATATTTGCAACAAAGCAATTTTTTTCTTCATATTTTGTTGCATTCAGACATTAGAAAGTATTGGAATATGATTGATTTTCAATGTCAATTTCTGCACCCAGCAAGAAAGATATTTAAAAAGATGTTATAAAGATTTTTTTTAAATTCAAGAAAGAGCCAAAAGTTCCACATTGGAGCCAAAAATTCAAACAGTGTTGGATTTAATTTTATATTTTTTACTTACTTACCTTAATAGTAATCCCAACTGGAGTCCAGTGAGCAGCTCGGCCAAGACGGCTTCAAATTGCAGGGTCCGTTAAAAACCGTACCCCCTTTTTCTCTGGACATGCATAGCAGTCTTCTTTCTCTCTTCGTCTCCAGCGTGGACCTCCTCTGAACACATGCCGTCTCACAGTCCTCCTTTTGTATCTTCGGTCTTCCCCTCTTCTCTTTGCCCTCATTGCTCAACAGGGAGATCAGGGCTTGAATATTGATTCACGTGGTGAAGGTTCATGTGCACCAATGCAGCATTTTGTTTGTCCTGCTCATCTCCTTCCAGCCCCTCTGCGCCCCCTCACACAACTCGTAGGTTTTTGTCTATGACCCACATTCTTGAAAGAAACCTTCTACCACGCTGTGAGCAAATTTATCTCCTTCACGGCCAAAAGAAGTGAAGAAAACAAGGCAGTTTGAATCAGACTGTTTATTTTGCACGCACTGGAAATAACTCGACACAAAATCATAGCAAAAATGTGCATTTCTGTTTTTCAAATCCATTCCCTGCCCCCTATTATCATTTTAATCCTGATATGACTGTGCTATATTTAGAATAACAATAAAGTCCATGCTCAATAATCCAGGTATACAATCCAACATTTTTCAGTCAGGTCAGGTATATTTAGAATAGTTTGCCTTTTTTTTTTTGTATACAGTAGAAATAGGCCGAGCTTTATCAATAAAAAATGGCTGATCTTGCCAGACTAATGGTAACAATGAAATTAACTCAACACAATCTTCTGGTTGTCTTAGACAGGTAACTTTACTATGGTAATTGTTTTTTTTATGTACGTGAATGTTTCTGTTCAGTGCCCTGAGACAACTTCTGTTGTGACTTGCCGCTAAATACAGTAAATAAGCTGAATTTAATTGAACTCATAGTTGCTTTTTATTTTACTCAAACTAAATTATTTCAATGATTCAATGTAAAATAAAATAATAAGTAAGTCAATCATCCAGGTAAATAAATCACAAAAAATTTAAATCACATCAACTGGACAGTTTCTTCAAGAAAGCTTTTTGTTTCAATAAAAAAAAAAATAAAAAAAAAGAGTATCTGCTCTCCAGCAATGAGCACAAGAATCAATGTGTTATAGCTCTGGGACCAACTACCAAAGGCCGCTCGTAGTTTAAACAAGTCCAAACCATTTAGCCTTGTTTTCCTCCTACTTTGATCATATATGCATTATTTTACTTTTACTTAAGCCAAATCCAAATTGCAACTTCATAAGTCCTTTCTAGATGTGACATTTTAAGATCAAACTAAAACTCCACAAAAAAAATCCAACATACTGTAAAACCTTGTAGTTTTAATAATTAGAAAATTAAAGGCCTAGCATTTCAGAAGGACTGCATGTCACACGCATGCCAGAGATTTAGTCTAAACTCATCTCATGTTAAGAAATGACAAAGATAAAGCACATTTAGTCAAACTTTGAAAATAATGTTTTGCACAATCTCAAGCATTATTGTGAGATACCACGCACAGTATGCTCGAGGATGACTCTCAGCTACTACCACACCAACATTTTAACTCAATATCTGTAAAACTGACTAAGTTATAGCCATTTTTGTATTTTCTAAGGTCAGATGGCTTGGTGGCCATGTTGAATGGGGTTGACTTCAAAGGTCACCAGTTAAAGAGACACACAGTCAGTGATTATTTCCTAAAGGTTTCATTAAAATAGTTCCAGTGGTTCATGAGATATTTTGCTAACAGATAATGTTGACTTTTAATAGTTATGGGAATTTTTTTAAGCACAGATCTGCAATCTGTTGGTACTCAGAATATGTTCAGTCTCAGCTGTCACCACGTCCAATTTTAGATCAATATCTGAGTGAAAGCCATATTGTGTGTGTTTGAAGGTCAGTTTGTTGTGGCAGCCATCTTGATACAGGATCACTCTCAAAGTTCATCAGTTGTAGATGCATTACTAATGATTACTTTTCTGCAAGTTTCATGAAAATACACAGAATGTGTCTTTAACATTTTTCATATTAAAATAAATAAGCTTTGATAACATTTTCTGCAAGGCCACTGTTTTACAAAAAGTGACCAAGTTTGTCATTGTAGAAGGAATAAATACTCAATAAAGGGAACAAGATGCCAGTAAATTTATACAAATGCATATAAATGCAGAGACATTCAGCATTTTACAAAATATGCACAAAATGAGCACAAGAATCAAATATGGTAAGTTTTATATACAAACACACACACACACACACACACACACACACACACACACATATATATATATATATATATATATATATATATATATATATATCCATCTATCCATTCTGTTTTATTTGCTTCTTCCTTTTTGGGTCACTGGTGATATGTTGCTAAATTGTCTAAAATAAAAATTGTCTGTGTTTTTAAGATTTTTGACTGTTTCTTGTTGTAATAACTGTGGGACTGCTGCAGAAGTTTTAAGTAAAAACAAAAACGATTGCTGAAATCCAAAAAGGTAATCATATATACCTTTCAGCAGACAGAGTCGAGTGGGATGGCATATTAAATATCCAGAATTGCACATTTCATAGTTCCATATAATTTAGCATCTACATACACCAAACAGTTGCTTTAACATTTAATATAGCATCAAATTCTTTCTGTCTGCCTAAATAATTTGACTGGCTGAGACTTACTAACTTCAGATCACTAGGTGGTGTAGTGTAGCCATAAGTTACTTTATCTGAGAGTCATATATGCTTCTAAATAAGAGACACGTAAACTGTTCACTCTTAGTAACAAAGAATAAGTGCTGTTTTTATAAATAATAAACTAAAATAAACATATTTGTTAACATATTTCCCTGGGTACTCCAGTGTCCTCTCACACTGGAAAAACATGCTTTTTAGGGCAACTGGCAAATATAAATTGGCTGTGAGTGTGAAGTTACCTTGATGTGGTCCTGTAATGGGCTGATGACCTGTGTACACCATCAGTCACCCATTGCCTGCTGGGATCTTATTCAGTTCTCTTTGACCCTAAACAGGATTACCGTGCAGACAATAAGTGAGTGAGAAACTGATTTTAATGTTGTTTTTGAGCAGATATAGGCTAAAACTACTTAGCATCTTGAAAATGTGAATTCCAAACACTTCCAAAAAAAAAAAAAAATCAGGAAATGACATTCTGAAGTGTTGACTGAGCATGGGTGCTGGAGGATATAATGTCCTGAGGATATTTGCACAGTATAGGTGGCATGAAATTAGCACCAGTTTGAAATGGTTACAATGGCACAACTCAATCCACACAGTGCACACCAATGTGTGCACAACCTCTGAGTAAATAGGAATGATTATCCTCCTATTTATTTAATAACTGTTGCTCACATGGTTCAAACTGAGAAAACAGAAAGTTCTTTATAATAGAAATTCAGATTTAGCTTTAACGTGGCTCAATAAAACAAAAACCTGTTTCCTTCTGTACTAATTGGAGCGAACATGAGTATAGTGGTCTGACAGGGTCCGTGTTTGTTCCATCTTGTTAAACTATATCTGCATCTGTTCATGTTCAGTCAGAAAACACAGAGGGGCCAAATGAATGCATGAATAAATACTGGCAGCTGTCATGATCTGAGTTAGCAGAGGAAATGTGTGATACACCACTATGGTCTCTGCTCTTCTCAGTCGTTCTGTGGGCTTTGACAAAAGAAAGCAATCTCCAGGGTTTCTTCTGTTAATGGGCAAAATAAAACACCTGCTTGTTTTGTGATTTATTGAAAAGTTTGCAGCTTACGCAGTCGTTTCTGTGGGGAACTAAGTAAAAGTGACAATTGTTAATGGATAGTGTGGGATATTATGATGGTTTAAAACTATTAATTGATTATTGGGGGTTAGTTTAGTTAAGTTCATATGTTTTAGTGTATGCAGCTGTGAACCAGGAACATCTGTTAATTGCACCAGCAACACAACAGGGAGGTTTAGCCTCATTTGAAGATAATGTTGTTTGGCCTCTGAGAAAACTCTCACCATTTGGAGGCACCAAGAGATAACATTGTACATTAAGTCATAGAAGCACCTCTGCCTGCCTGAGGAGGTGAATTGTGGTCTTCCTGTGCAGAAGGTCAAAATATCTCCCGAGGGGAGGCCCCCATAAGGTGTTATAAGGAGGCACTTTCTTCTTTGTTTTTCAGAACCGGCTCCTGTCATACTGGGTCCGCTCCTCCAGATCTGCTTGTATTCTGTGCATACATCTGTTTGTGAAAATAAATGTTGTTAAACCTGAAGGAAGCCTGACCTTCCCCTCCGATCAAAACCAATCCGGGAAGAATGAACCGGCACTCGTTCTTAACAATAGGAAAAGGCCTCATTAGTCTAATCAGGTCATAAGACGGTCACACAGTTCACACGTCTCCAGCCTCCAAACAGTTTCACCAAATATCCCAGTGCATGTATTAAGTTTCTTCAAATGTATCTGATCCCAAGTTTGTGATTAAAGTTTATGGATGAGTTTCTTATGTCAGACCGCTTTTGCAAACTTTAGTGGGAAGGTGTGACAGCAGCGTCTGTGAATCAATGAGCTTTAGTTGAAATATGTGAGAGGATAAATATAGACACAAGTCTACTGTCTGAGACCAGTATTATTATTAACCTGTTACCAGTGCTGTTTCTGCACTAAACGCTGCCTGAAACGCTTAAAACAAGGGTGGGCAGAGGTTGAATACACAGCGCAGTCACGTTTTTCCAGTTTAAAAGCACAGACAAGGTGGAGCCTGTCTGTCTGTGGGTTGATTTTGGATTTTATTAATCAGTATTAAAATTTGAAATGCTCCGACCTCTTCTTATTTACTGATCTTCTTTACATCCGCACACCAGCCGAAGCGCTACATTAATACAATAAACCAGAGTTTTTCTTCATTGTGTATACAAAGGTCCAGATTAAAACATACTTTCTTGTAAAGCACTTTGGTCAAGTTCCATTGATTTTTAAATCTGGAACTTAAATAAACATGGCAGCTACAAACAATCTGGAAGTGTCTCAGTATACCATACAGTTACCATTGCTATGCTTTAATATGATGATTAATGGGATTTGTTGGGTAAATTTAGAGAACAATTAAATGAGTCCTCGAGGCTCAATGGGGTTATTAACCTGTCTAAATAAAGGTTGAATGAAAAATTAGCCAAACAAGATTCAAATCCGCAAGGACGCCTCAGGCAAATAAAGGCTCCATTTCCAGATGCACACCTGCTATTGTTAAGTAATTTGCGTTTCCACTGAACAAAACCAGCTGAATCATAACCACTGCAAACTGCGCTTGAATGCAACACTTTCATTTCCTCTCGCAACTTGTTGGTTTTATACATTTCTTTTAATAAAAACGTGGTCATACAGTATGGTACTCGCTGTCAAGACTGAATTAAAAAATAAAAAAAACATTCACATTGATTTACATTAATTTATGAGCGCTATATTAGCCCCCACACCCCCATCCCTCCTGAGGATGTTTAGGGCTAAACATCATGAGATGTTTAGGTCACATGCACGAAGGAGCAGATTGGTGTTAATCTGATTACACACACGTCTGCACTGTGCTGCAAAGACAAAACATGCAAGCACCACCTCTGTCCTGCTTGAAATAAATGTCTTCTTCCTTGATGTGAATCAAGAAGCATCTTGGGCTGAGTGTATTTTTCTAATGTTGATGTTTTTATCTGTTTGCAGTGCGCATTCCATAAAGGGCACACAGCCCTGAACTGATGTGTTCCACTTCACACATCTGGATTTAGACTCACCTGTACCAACACCTCAGTGTTGTTTCTTTGTATGCTCTCCACTTCCTTTGTGTAGATTTTCACAATGGCTGACACTGAAGAACCCATGGCACAGCCACGTTTCTGCCAGCGAAACCTTGACGTCCTACTTGACAAAGGTGGACAAAAGCCAAAGATCCAGGATGATCTGGTCTGGACTGAAGTTGGGTCTTTCCATCCATTTGCAGCCGTTAAGCCAGTTTTCACCACGTCCATGTTGCAAACAGTACACGAGTAAAGAGAAGGGACATCAAGCTCATTGCAAGTAACCCACATCTGAGTGGCTCAAGGGATTATAATTTGTGTCAAAATCCATCATTTCTACATGACAACATGCACCACATGATTTTTATTTTGACACTTGACAAGCAGTTGCTCTGAGAAGACTTGGATTTCTTTCTAAATGAAACCCGTGGAACCAAACAACCAGGTTTTGTGAGGGATTCAGTTTGTCGAGTACAGTACTGCAATTTGTATGGACTCGTTTAGGTATTTGATAGTACCCCAAATTAATGGTATTTTAGATTTTCATTTGAAGGACATGTTATTTAATAAAATATATTTAACACTTCAGTTATTTGTTAAACATTTTGATTATAAATGTGTGTATGTGTAGTGGGAAAGTGATGTGAATGGAGGTAGAGAGCGAACTAGATTACCGTATATACATACAAATAGCATTGTAATAACTATGTAAAAGAATCTGCAAGGCAGAAAGTTTTTACTTTCTACTGAGTGAACTGCTAAACTGATCACAGCTTTGTTTTAAAAAGTCAACAGGGTAAGGGTCATTAAGAGTTTATTATTTGCAGAAGGATCTTGTTTCTCATTCAAGTTGTCTCGGGATATTAGTTGTCCTTATTGCTGCTTATTAAGGAACATTTTTCATGTTGAGACTAAATAATATTGTAGTTGCAGAATAATTTAGAACTGAAACATTCATATTTGATCAGCCAAGTATAAAAATGCTAAACTGAAGAGTTGGACAGTCTTATGGGGAAAAGGGGCATTTGGATTGAGCTGAGCACGTTATTCCTGAGAACTCTTCTGTAACTCAACCAGGGCCAGATTAACACTTCACTGTACCCTGGGCAACAATCTTCAAGGGGCCCATCATCACGACCCCAGAATCACCATAATCTGGCAAAATATGCAATAAATTACTGTAAAAATGTACAAATATTTCATTAATGCGAATGCAGCAAGATTAAGTTGAGCGTACTTTGAACACCATATGTGTACTTGGTTAGCAACACATGGGCTAATGGTGAGAAGCACTTGTAATGTGAGGAGAGACACTCATGTTGGGGTCCTCCCCCAGAAAATTTTAAATGAAGTAGATGCCATTTCCTGCATTCTGACGATGCATTCCGAGTTACTCAACCCGTCTTTGTAAGAGTTAACTGTTGAAAAAATGCAGCAGCAATGAACTGTTTTTCTTCTTTTGTTGTTTTGGTCACATTGTCCTCATTCTTTGCAACGAGCCAAGATACAAGGTGTTACCTTGTACACAGTGCTCATCCAATCCTCACACCACACCCAGGGCGTTATTACGGTCAGAAGTGAAGATATCACATAATTGATTTTGATTGAACGTGTTTAAAGGCTTAGAAAATGTGTTCCATACTTCAAGAGTTGTGCAGAGCATCAAGCTATAAAATACAATGTTAAATGGGAGTTTTATCTTTAAATTATTTTTTGCACAAATTCTAGTTGCACAAAAACTTTTGAACTATGTCTTTGTGACAGACGTTTGTGCTGCCACTGCACTGAGGAATCTGCACAAGGGGGGAATTCAGGTTTATTACTTGTGAAAGAAGAGGTAAGAAGCTTCCACCTGCCCTAAAAGTAAATACACTTGTCAAAATGTTTGAGCTTTCAACCATTTTCCCCCTCCTTTTATTAGGACCCACCCTTGTGGTAATAAAGACGTCACACATCCTTGTATGAGAAACAAACCTTACAATTGAATTTCTTGGCAGGACAACCGTTCTTACAGATGAAGGGAATTTTAATTCTTGGAACCAGAACGGTCACCGAATAACCATCGGACATTAACACCATGGTGTTAACAAAGGCACAACATGACCAAGTGTACAATAAAATATGCATTTATTTATAGTGAATCAAATCTCTTTCACTATAAACCATCACACAGACTGTGTGCTTACAAACTGCCAAATTAGTTCACACAATTACTATACTGACCCGATTTTAATGTCAATACTAACATAAATAAATTTCAGATATAAATACAGAACTGTACACATTTCCCTTGCAGAAAAGTTCAATATCAAAACGATTGTCAAGAACCAGATGTGTGGCATCGCCATCATCAAAAACCAAACAGCTGTTTTTTTTTTTAATCAACGATGAGTTCAAAGGAAAAACTTAAAATAATGAATTTTAAATTGCACTGTCATTCGTTTTAATATCATTCGATACGTAAAACATGCCAAAGGTAAAAATTGTAGTTTTTAATACTTTTCTCCCCCAAAAGAGGAACTGTGATAAACACACATATTTCAATAGGCAATTGTGATTCATAAAAAACAAAAACAAAACAAAAAAAAAGATTTTAGTTAAAAACAGCAAATGTTCTTTTCAAAAAGTGCATTCAAACCCAAATCAACCTTAGAAGTACTTGGTCATCAGTGCACATCCTTTTTGTACATTTGCAAAAGAACTACTGAAAATACTTCTTGTTTTAAGGATAAAATAAATGGCTTGGCCCATCTAGAATTTTAAATCGAGGGACCTCTTTGAAAGAAATAAAACAAACAACTAAAAGGCTCAAACCTCGGCTAAAAGGCTGTGCACATTACAACGGAAGAATTCAGTAAAATGAAAGTCCATCTTCCTCTCACCCGTGTAATGTCACAGTGCAAAGTCACGTGTGCAGCAGCTCATACAGTCTTGGTTTACAAGGCACAAAATATGTTCAGGAAGGGCAGAAAACCAAGAAATTAGTTTGTAGTATGGTGACAATTGTTTCAGGAAGATAAAAAAACATGCAATTCACTGCTTCCTCGTCCAGCTGGTTTGAATACCAAAGCAAAAATCTTGAGGGAAATTTGCCTTTAACTTCTGCTTTAACAACCAAACGTGACGGCATGAACGCAGGTCCACAAACAGCAGCTAGTCTGCCTTCGCTGTCGTTCCATTCTTTGTAGGAATCTTTGGATAGATCAGAGAAATTAAGAGCATTACAGCTACTGTTGTATGACGAATTAAAAAAAGAAGCATGACGACATTTTTTGGTAAGAATATGGATGAGTAATTTTCCTGGCAGAAAAAAAAAGGAACCCGATAGCAAATAGCAATGTAGTAAATAAATGTTAAAAAAAACAAACAAATGCGTTTACTCCCACATTTGCACAGATGTACCTCATTAAAAAAAAGCTAAAGACTTTAATATATTGACAGTCTTACAATGCTTTTCATGGTAGCTAATAAAAAGGCAACTATGTGCATCTTGAAATATAATCGCATTTATCTGAGGCTAAACATTACACAGATTTTCCAACTGATAGGACCAGACTGATATTTGTTTATGGGGAAAATAATTGTGTAACACGTTACAATAAGTTTAAAAAGGAAACTGTCTTCACTCACAGTCATCGCAGAGCTGATTTGCTTCATTATTAAGTGGTTATTCAAAGAGAAATTACTCTCAATGTTTAGATAATTATTACCATCCAGTTAAAGTATTATTTCAAACACAATCAAAAGAATTCTGGTCGCCCTTTAGCCATGAAAAGTGGTGCTTTTTGTGCACGTTTGCTTTATGCGATAGTGAACAGGTCGTTTTGAACTTTCTGACCTTTGACTGGAAAACTTCCATATGTAAAACAATGAGCTAAACTATTAGAAAATAATTGATTATAACTCCAGTCCTCTGCATAAACTTGAACATAAAAACTTTTAAAATGAGCATTTAAGACAAAAGTAAAAATAAATCTTCAATAAGCAGAATGTAAATAAAATGACTGATTTTTACACGCAACATAATTTTACTTGTGCCTGTAGTAAGAAGTCTTTTAAACGCAGCTAAAATCAAGTTTGAGAGGGTGTTCATGCTAAAAATTAGCTGAACTTCAAGTTTTATGACTTGTTTTTGAATAAACATGCGCACGGACAACGCACAAGATCAGCTTCATCCTGGCACAGTCCTAAGCTTGGAATGAAATCACACAACTTCAGTAAGCTGGGAACAATAAACTGGCAATTAGATGTGATTACTGCAGTAGAAAAAAACAACACGAGTTTAAAAGAAAAAAAATAATCATTTAAATGCCCAACTACTCACCTTTGTTTCAGAGTCTATACAAGCAGACAAGTGTTCCTAAACCTTTTAAGAATTCACTTGTAAAAAGCACTCAATAAAAATGAAATAAAAGGATAAAAATGATAAAAACATGTCTCGGGTTGAGGAACAGTCTTCCAGTCACATTTCGCATTAAAAGAAGTCTTTCAGCTCCAGAATCCTCGAGAACTTAAGAACAAGTGGTCTGACTTTCTGCACTTAAGAACCCAAATTATCAAAATGGATCAGTAAACATAAAAAACCCATACGGTTTCTGTCTGCCTTAAAATCGGTTCATCCAACAGAGGGTTAGAGTCAGTTTCCTTCTGGAGCTGCAGGAGGGTCTTTATCAGCCGCAGGGGGAGGATCTGCATCCTGCCTCTGGTCATCCTGGGACGAATTATTCCCCTCTTTAAGATCGTTTTCCTGAAAAGTCATGTCTTGTCCTTCTGCGGCATTTCGTGACGTTAACTGTTCAAATCCGTAACCCTTTGGGATCGGGGGTTGGTATCTGTATTTGTAGCCAAAGGCACGCAGGTGATAAGTGTAGTATTCCAATAAATACATGCCTGCAGCATCTACGTAGTGGAAAGACACCGATATATCCGAGCAGCACTTAGGACCCTGGGGCAAGACACAATATATGGTTTTGAAACATTACATACTATAATGGTATTAATCAACCAGCAATGACGGGAGAAAAAAAAACACAAATGTGAATATAACAAGGTTAAGTCAGGTCCTCTGGACGGATTCTTCTTTGTAGAAATGTCTCGTCTTTTATCCAAAAGACTTCAGTCTGAAGAGCTGCCCTCGCTCAGCCCTCTGTGAATAGCAAGCGGCCATCACTAACGATCAGTTGTTAGGCTGATGGTCCTCCCTTTGCATGTGAACAACTAGTTTTGGCTGTCACCAGCAAACTGGTTGATCCACTTTGAGAAGGTGCTGCATATAAAAGACTGAGTTTGTTGCAGCTCCTCAGACTGAAGAAGTCTTTTGGAAAAAAGACGAAACGTTTCAACAAAGCGGAATCTGTCCAGAGGACATCTACCTGGATTATTGAGCATGCAACAGGACAAGCGTGAAAATAGTTTATCTCATTTGAAATTAAGTGTAAAGATACCAGTTTCTGAAGCAGAGTTGTGTGAGGTGATAACTCATAATCAGTTAACTAAATAGAAGTAGCTCACTTAACAGTTTGAAGAGTACAAGCAACAATAAGGCATGACAACATTTTAAAAAATAAACTAAATGAAGTTCATATAAAAAAATAATTAAAATGTGTTTTGTCTGTACTGTTGTGAATGTTTGCTTTTTTAAGTTTGGGTTGTGGAAACCACAGCCTCATGTAGGTAGATGACTATGGCTACAGATAACTACCACATACAACAGTCCATTATCCCTTGATCCCCTGTGTACACCTACAACAGCTTTAGCACTTTGTCAGGATTTAGGAGAAATTCCACAGCACTGGTTTCACTTACCTCTGAGATGGGGTAATAGCAGTAGCTCCAGTACCAGAAGCTCTTTGGGAACTTGGCAGTGAGATGTTGCTCAGGGACAAAAGGGTGAAATGTCTCTCTGTGTGCCGTGTCTCTGGAGTCTCCTGCAAGCACCCCAACCTTCTCCATGCACTGCCCCATTGCCAGATCCTCCACAGAGGTGGTGTGTGTGCACACTTTGTTTTTAAATCCTTCTACGAATCTCCGCAGTGCCTCTCTGCTCAGTACATAGCCTGCACCACCGCTCATGTATCCCTGCTTGGTGTAAGGCTTGAACCTTCGCCCGAAGTAAATTGGCTCGTCGGGTGTGTGGTTTGCAAGGACCCATCGCAGGTTGTCTACAATCACGTAGGTGTCGTCGTCTGCCTTGAGGAACCAATCCGCCTCATCGGCATGATGCTCATAGGCATAATGGAAGGCTCGGATGGTTTTCCAGTACAGTTGATCGCGACCCTCTTTTGTGCCTAATCCCACTGTGGGGAAGTCAGGATCATCCACGGAGCTCATGAAAACCACAACATTGCAATGACGACTCCATGTTTGCTTCGCATGCCGAGCCTTTGTCTCCAGGTTTTTGGGTCCCGTCATCACCCAGCAAAGAATTCGCACCTTTCTGTACAACTCATCAGCCAAGTGGCTATCTTCACCTGGAAAGGAAACATAACAATTAGTGTTCTTTTGTGTGCAATTTTCATTTGTACTAGCAAATTGTGTTCACAGCAGTGTGATCAAAACTACTTGAACTAACAAAATCAAGATCTACACAGTGACAGTAAGAGACATGAAAGTCAATAGTTCTCACAGAAATTTTATACTGAAGCGTAACGTCTCTTTTGTCAATAGAGATTTTATGGTGGTACTCGTTTAACCTTAACCAGTGTGTATCCAAACGTTATGAAGGACACTTTTACAATTTAGACCCAATAAGACACAAAATGTGAGATGAATTTCAATTTGGTTCTGTTGTATCCATCTTTTTTTGCATTACACACAAAGTTTACTTAAACCAAAGTTCTCACAAAATCTGGATCTGCAAAACAAGATTCAAGGGCACACGCTATTTATTTATCCATTTAGTTTGTGTACGCATGTAACTTTAAACCATCCCCAGTCCCATCACCGTTTCACATAAAAAGACCTGATGGAGACACTGTTACAATATTTTGTAATTTTGGCTGAACAGACTATTGATCTGCATGCAGGCTTACATTGAACATCTGCCACAAAATGTTAAATCACTTGCAAATATAAAAATGTACAATTTGTAAATACAGGTTTGTAATAATAATGACATTAAGATTGAACCAAACTTGGATAAGAGACTACCTTTATACAATGGGTTCAAGTTTAAAACTATTTATTCCATTTAGTTGTCTTAAGATACTGATTCAGTTTAACTTTTATTCTTCCCTCTAGTTCAGGGCTCTGCAATCTTCACGATCAAAAGAACCATTTTTATGTCTTCGTTCACTAAAGTAAATGTGTCCAGAGCTGCAACAACCTGCTACAACTGTGGTTATCAACTGGAGGCCCATGGGCCACTTTAAGTTTGTTGGAGGAGACTTTTGTGGCCAGTAGGGTTGACATTTTAAAGATAAAAATATGTAATGATTTTTAACATTTACTGACATTTTTGCAATTTAAGACAAAAGAAAAGACCAGATTATTGTAACGAGGGGGGGAATTGTTTTTTTTAATGAAAGAACAATGAAATATGCAGACCTATGTAATTTTTTTAATTGTGGAAAAAATAATTAAGTATAGAAATAATTGTCCATTGTTTTCATCTTTCTTTGTTGAAATCAGGTCTCTCTTGTAAATAAGTCTGCGAGGCTCCATGGGATTTACCTGTTTAATAAAGGTTGAATGAAAAAAAAAGTATAGAAATAAAGCAAAAAGTTAGTGAGTATTTGCAAAATAAATGACAGGAAAACTGCTAAAACTAGAGTTGTTTGTATAACAACCAATAAAATTCAGTTTTGCGTTTGTTTTGGTTGAAGCTTGAAAGAGCCGTTGCAGAGGGACCAAAGAGCCGCATGTGGCTCCAGAGCCACAGGTTGCAGACCCCTGCTCTAGTTGAACCGTGACTTAAATCACCAAACTTATCACAGTTGCAAAACAGTCTAAAACTTACCAATACTCAGTGACAGACAACAAACATGCATGGTACTTGAAATATAATGACCAACGATATATTCCAGTCCTTTGAGTAATTTATATTGTGTTTACTGATACTGCGAAGAGGATAAATTTGTTGTTATGCAGCTCTTAAGAAAAACCTTGGCAGCTCCTGTTGTGGGTAAACAACATGCAAAGACTTGATCTTTCATTTAAAAAGCAGAAGACACTGAATCTCTTAACGACAACAAAAGTTAGGGTTCATTGAAGAGATGCAGAGATCAAATGAACAGCATCAGAATCCAGAAGAGCCCACCCCCCTCACTGTTCTTATCCCTTTAGTCATAACAGCACTCACTTGTCTCTCGTACACTCAGAGGATGCACTGGGTCAAGTCCTTAACCCAGACTTCATGACATCGTTGTTTCCATCTATGTAGGTCACCGATAACATTTCATGTCTTATTACACTGCCTGAGTCGATGAAATGGAACATTGTTTTCTAAAGAGAAAAATATCTGCATGTCATGAAGCATCTTCACTGATAAAGCATGTTGATACCTCCTGAAAAGACTTGTATGTACAATTATGAAAAAGGTAACCACCGTCTGCCTACCAGACAACTTGTGTGTTTAGATTGAGTGACATCTGCTGTGAGACTTCACAACTGTTTATCCAATCAGTGTTCAAGTTTTGTAACAGTGTCAAGCTACAGTCCAGATGAAAACTACTGTAACTGGAAAAAAAATACAGTATATATACACAGTACTGTTTCTACATGCAAATATAGTGAGTTGAGAAAATTTAATGTTTTGCTTAAAACACATTTTTATTACTTTTACAAACACATTTTGCGTCCTATAATAGTACATTTATTAATAGCTTCATACGTTTATTTTAATGAGTTTATTTGATGGTCAGTTTTCCCACTGTCATTATTTGAATTTTTTTTGTGTATACAGTACAAGATAAAATTATAAAAATGACAAACTACAGAATAGCCAGCTACTTCACCTACTGGTAGCACTATACTGCCCAGCTCGTAAAACCAGTTCAAAAAGTAGTACGTTGTTCGCTCTTTCATTATAGATGTTCTAAAACAAGTTCTCATTTCTTTTACTATTACACAGAAACCCAGAAGACTGTAAAAAAAAAAAAAAAAAGACTAAAAATTGTGTGCTTGAATTTGTGACCATTTAAAGGGTCTTGTAAGTCGTGGAGAACATAGACAAGTTGTTCAGTGTAAAGGGGGCCTAACAATAAACTCATTGATTTCCAAGCTTGCCAACAATTTGTCATATTATCTGGTGCTGTTACATCTGATCTTACACAAAGATGTGTTGTCATGTGTGTGAGACTTGGGTGGTCTATAGCCTCTCCACTAATTTTCATGTATCTGATGGGAACTGAGCAAGTTGGTGTCATGAGTGAAAATAGTCTTTGTTACCTTTCTGTAACAGTTTGTGATGAAAATCGGAGGAGATCAAACCCGGTAACTTAATAAGGCACAAAAACAGTTTCGCTCTCAATAAGCTGAGCAACATAGAGGCAGGGTGGATCATTTCCATACCAGCCGTTCAGAGAAAACAGTGTTTTTAAATAAATGAGAGCAAGGGACAAACTTTCCAGTAATTTTTTTTTAACCCGTCCCTTTTAATGATGTACCAATTATCACTGCAACAATTTTTAAATTTTCTTTGTGCTGTAATACAGAATGAAAATCTAAATATTCTGACCAGTATGACTAATAAATGATTCACACAGTTTGATGCAGCAGGAATTATTTTAATGGCATACTCTTGTGAAAGAAATTAGGTTTTGAGAGTAAATATATCACAATGGGTTTTTTTTTTTTTTTTTTGCTTCACTGTCACTAGCATGTCTGAATAAGCATGGTAATATTACAGAGAAAACTTAAAGGTGCAGGAATAATGAAATACTGTTGCTTTAACAGACCTATGAGTGTACTCACATTGGCACATAATGATGACACAGAAAGCCTTACTAGAACATAATGTTACTCTTCGTGCTGATCAAGCAGTAATTAAACCACCACTGAATTTGTGGTTGTCCTTCCTTCTTATATCCCAAGGAATATATATTTTTTTTTCTTAGCTAGTGGGTTGGAATAATGGAGATTTATGTTGACCATAAATAGGAAAAATACCCAGAATTCTATTTGTCATCCAGTTGTTTATATGCTATGATTATGAAGTGACCTCAATAGATACCGGCAAGAATGCCGGTGCTGAATGTTGGCTGCTTCTTCACGTCTCAGTGGACTCGAGGTTAAATCATTTTTGGAGTTTTCTATGTGACTCACTGGCTCAAGAGGCTCTTCTACCGGGACAGCCACCAAAGATCCTTCTTCGTCAAACAAAATTCTATCAATTGAAACATCTACGGACAGCCTGCTCGCCGTTCAGGTGAAGCCGGGATGGAGTTGTGGTGACTTACAGTCTCCCGAATTGACACTCAACAACTGGACCACCCTGATGGGTCTTCCACTCATTAAGAAAATGGGAATCCGTCTGCATTCATGATTTACTCACAGGAGCTCACGATGAAAGTTTGTTTACTCCCAGACTGCTCACCATTCCTTTCTCGGCACTTCAACATGCTTCATCACACCACTGACATGTCATCAGAACACTCTCTTACTTGTTGTTCTGAAAAAGCCACTGCACAGACACATACTGGGCTGGATGGAAGATATGGAGTGAATTTAAACCTGCTCTGGCCCTTAAAGAGTCATTCACAGTCCGAGAACATTAAAATGGAGTAGTTCAATACACAGTCCATTTCAAACAAGTCCTGCTTCTTACATAACCACATTTTGGACTGCTGTTTGGACTTGCTGTGCCTCACAGAAACATGCATCAAACAAACACATCCTCGGCTCTTAAAAAAGCCTGCCCTCCTAGATATTGTAATCTGCAGAAAGCCCGCAGCAGGGGACGGTGGTGGTGGCCTCGCTGTTATTTATTACAGAGACCTAGATTTGTTCCTGCTTCCCCTGCCAGATTTAACTTCTACTGAATGTTTAGCATTTACAAGCAAACTCCTATTTTCCATGACAGCTTTCCTCATAGATCAACCACCCAAGCCCCACCCAGCCTTCATCTCTGAGATGTCAAATTGTCTTTTATCTTTTTTTACTACATCTGCTAAACTCTTATTACTTGGTGATTTTAACATTCATGTTGATGACCCTTCCTGTCACTTTGCTGCTGAATTTCTTTTTGCATTGTGTTAATCTCAAGCAGCACGTTGATGTTCCCACAAACACCAGGGGAACAATTCAGATTGGATTATCACAGTTTGCAATTGCCAGTAATTTAACTCTACGCGATCTTGGCGTCTCTGACCACAAGACCATTTCTATGGCGTTTCCTTTTTTCATCTAAATTATGCAAACAAGAGCGCCAAATCTCTTTCAGGAACCTAAAAAACATCAGCCAAGATATCATGGCAGCAGACCTTCTGCACTGCCTCGCTGTTTACTCATCACTTAATGAGTCAGTGGACTT